GCCAACTTCTTCTGGGTCTCCTCCAAGTCTTCCTTGGATTTCTTCAGCTCATCAGCGAGCTTGGAGGAGGAACCTTTCAGCTCATTCAGCTCCTGCTGAACTTGGGAAGCCTTTGTCTGAGCCTGGGCCACTTCTACTTTTTTGGCCATCAGTTGATCCTCAGCCTCAAGGAGTTTAGCTCTCTGAGCTTCAGCAGCAGCAGCAGCCTCAGAGAGTTGGACATCTCTGGCCTGGAGCAGCTCTTCAGCAGCCATTCGGCTGGCTTCAAGAGCTTCTAGTCGTTGCTGCACTTCAGCTTGTGCAGCAGCTCCTTCCTGGATACGGCTCTCAACAGCAGCCTTGAATTTGGAGACGTCCACTCCCATATGCTCCTGGAGGAATTTTTCCCCTTCCATCAGTGGGGGAAAAACTTCCTTCTCCATAGCGTCGCAGAAGGTTTTGAGGGCTTCAGCAGCTCTTTTCTCGTACTCCTCACCCTTCTGCTGCTTCTCTTCAGCTGCTGCTTGCTTCAGCTTAGCAAGCTTTAATTCCTCTTCAGCTACCTTCTTGTCGTGCACAGCAGCGTCTACCCTATCTTGTAGGGTATCTATCAGCTCTACAGTGAGAGTCTGATTGTGCACGAACTGAAAACAGGAAGACAAGTTAAATAAAAATAATAATAAAAATAGAGCTGAATTTTAGAGGAAATAAAGGCAAGGAAAATCACCTGCATCATCAGCAGTTGGTTAGACCTGGCTGGGTCAGGAACTGATCTGCTGGATTCGCCCATCCCAGCAGTGGCCTTCAGCGACCAGATCCTTGCCCTATCTACTTCGGACATGCCAGCAAAATCGCCGAAGTAGGCTGCAGCTCCTTCACGGTTCTGACCCCATATGAGGTCCCAGATGTGGTCTGGGATTGGAATTCGGGGGGCCGAGAAACCCATTTCTCCAGATTGCAGAGTCTGGAAGGAGGGAAAGGATGACGATGGAGCTTGTTTAGCTTTGGATGGCTCAGCATCATCCTTCTCAGAGGAGTCAATTACTATGACCTCCTCTTCTTCAGGGGTGAGGACGAAAGCCTCAACCTCTCTTGCGATGTCTGCCGTGAAACCCTCAGCACTGGGCATCACGGCATCCTTTATTTTGTGCTCAGCAGCACTCTCCTTAATTGCTTCTTGGACCCCTCCCTTAGATTCGGGAGTTCTCTGATCCACCTCCATCTCAGGAGGTGGCGGAGGGGTCTTTGGAGGTGATTGGGGTGGTGGCCGGGGAACCCTCGGCGATCCATTGCCTTCCTCGGGTTCCCTTATTGCAACGCCGATGGTCATCGGCCTCCGCTGAAAGTCATGCGGCCCGATGATGGCCATCCTTCGGCGCCTTTTCTGAAGGGGTTGCTCGTCCATATCTGAGTCTGAAGACTCTTCTTGTATTTGGTCTTCGGGACGAACATGGGCTTTCCCTTCTCTATGTCTGTTACTCTCTTCAGACTGTAACAGACAGGGGGGAGGAAGAATGTGAGTAAAAAAAAAAAAAAAAAGAAAAAAAAAAAAAAAAAAAAAAAAAAAAAGAAAGACAGTTAAGTCTGAAAGCTCACCGAGGTCTTCAGCAAAGCCTCGTCTTCTTCAGCTGCCCTAGCTGCAGCTTCTTCTTCAGCAGCTCTGGAGGACCCTTCTCCTCCTTCGCAAGCTTCGAGAACCCGTGCAACCTCTTCGGCTGTACGGGCAGCTTCAGCTTCTTCGTCCAGCAGCTGAAACCAGGGGTCTCTCTTCTTCCACCAAGGCTTCTGCCTCTGATACAGAGCAACAGCCTCAATTTGTAAGTGGGAAGAGTCTAGATGAACTTCCCTATGCCTCGGTTCAGTGATAGACGGGGCCCGTTCAGTTACAACTCGTTCTCGGTTGACACCAAGACGAGCGTAGTTAATGCCAACGTTGGTCTCGTCCCGCTCTGAAAAAGAAAAGGGGAAAGGTCAGTTCAGATAGGTTGGCACAGCATAAAAAAGCGAAGCGAGAGAAGAAAAAGAGATAATTAAAAAGCCTCGGCCCCAGCCGAAGAAGCTTACCATCCTTAAACTTTCGGCTGACGCCAACAGCTGCTAGCATGTTCTCTTGGAAAACATAATGCGTATCGGGGAGCCAAGTCTCCGGGATATGCTGCATTCGGCCACTGCCCCCCCGGTTCGGCAGCTTGCCGAAGATATGTTGTTGATTAAGGTTCGGATCCGCCCCGTTATCTGCGGGGGGACCTAGACTTCCCATCTCGGGATCAGGCTCAGCAAGGTACCGGGGAGCGCTGAAGACGCAAGGGTGGCCCGGATCTGTGGGTGCCCTAACCCAAATCCATTGACCTCTCCAGTCCTTGTCTGAAGAGTCGTTCGGCCACATGGTTAGGTACTGGGGCCGGGACTCAATCCGGTACCACCCAGAACCATGGCTTCCGTGCCCACTTTGAATATTTGGCACTAGCCGATGAAGCTTTTTGAAGCAGTGCAGGTTCGGCACATACTTGAAGAACTTGCAGACCCATAAATATGTCATCACCCTTCGGATGCTGGTGGGAGTTAACTGACATAGAGAGATATTGTAATGGATCAGCAAGTCTCGGACGAATACGTCCAAAGGGAACCTCAGCCCGTACTGAAGCTGTCTTGTGTACACCCCCACATACCCCGGGGGTGGACGATGGATTCTATCGGATGCCGCGGGCATTCGGCACCAATACCCATCAGCTTCAAAAATGCCGTAATGCAACTCAATTTGCTCGGCAAACCGATATTGATCGGCATTCTCCACCCACCATGAGTAGGGGCGGTTCTTTATCATGGCCGAAGCTACTTCGGCATTCTCCCACTCTGAAAACCCGGGGAGGATATCCCAAAGGACAGCGGGAACTTCATCGTCCCGTCCAGAAGCGCTCGGCCCCTCCGTTCTCTGAGGAGGAGCCGAGGAAATTGGAGTCGCCCTAATCCCTTCAGCAGGGTCAGACTCTGGCCTTTGTCCATTCCAGGTCCCAGTCCTGTTCCTAGGATCGGGAATTGGCCTTGCTCTTCTTGGAGCACGGGCTCTACCTCTAACTCCTCTTGTCATTGATTATTTCGAAGAAAAAAGTCGAAAAAAAAAGGGAAGGAGTTCGAATTCGAAGAAAAATAAACTGAAATCAAAGGAATTTACCTTAATCTGAAGCGAAAGTTGCCGATTTACGAGTTCGTAGTGGCAAGTCTCAGTTTCTAAGCTTAATGCTCGGGGAATTTGCGAAGTTTTGATGCGGGTTCTTGGTTTCTCTCTCGAGAATTCTGGGTTTGTGTTGGTGAATAAGTGAGGAGAGATGACGCGCCTCTGTTTATATCTCCAGGAATGGGATACGAGGAGTCTGCGTTTCAATTTCTCTTAAATACTCCACTAAGTAACCGTTAAACACACGACCTTACGATTAAACTGCCCATTATCCGTCCAACTTCCACAATCATCCACCTTAACCGTTGTTATCTCATTAATTACGGTTTAAATTCAAATTTTTGGATTAATTAAATCATTTACTTCCCTCCTTTTCTGAATTAAATCAAACCCGACCCGTCATCCTTCCAAATCGGGTCTGGGGGGCAAGTTGTTTGGGTCCAATTTAGTCCAATTGGGCCTAGGCATTAAATGATCCAATTAAAAGCCCAAGGTCAAGGTTCAACTCTCCAATTGTGCTAAAGTCAAAGGTCAGCCCACAAAGCAAGCCAATTGGGCTAAGGTCCAACTTCTCCATGCATGAAGAGGTATAAAAGCCATCAATATTCATACATTCTCATAGATTCATAGATTCACATACATTCTCATAGATTCATATATTCTCATATATTCCATCAAAGCCTCAAGCAACAAACTCTCTTGCATAGTGTTCTCTTTCTACACATTGTACTAACTTTAGCATCGGAGGGGCCTTCCTCGGCAACACCCCCGAGGCTAGTTTACGTGTGTTTACTGTGCAGGAAACCTTCGGCCCAACATAACTTGGACCGAATCCAGTCTTCTCCGTTTCAGCGGACCTTCGGCAAGGTCCCATTGTTTTCACCCGAAACACTTGTATTTTTCGTAATATTATGAAGGAAAAAAGGTGGCTAGCTAGTAGTCTAGTAGATAGTAGTCATTGGCAAGTTAGTCGTACGTGCAATTGTGAATTTGCATATATCTTTGTAGTTACTCCGTACTACGTAGGAGCCTTATGACTTAGAAATTTAGGATGGTAGTTGTGGAAAGAGGAATTCTTGGTCTCAAGTAGGTAGAGACCAAGGAGGTCTCTAGTAAGGTTATTTTCGTAATTTAACGAAAAGTAAAAAAGACAAAAAAAAAAAAGGGTACCTTATCTGTGAGTACTAACGATATATATATAGATAATACCATCCTGAATAATTTCAAAATACCATCCTACAACGTGTTGGTATCATCATAGTACTGCAGTTGGTATCATATTAAACAAATATTATTGTTGGTATAAGTAGCTTTGTAGATGGGATCCTAATTAAAACTTTGTTGGTATCTAGCTGCGTTCGGTTGGTATCAGAGCCATAACGGTTAAAAAGCTAAATTAATTTATAAATAATTAAGTAAAACTGGAGAATACTAGGCCCTCTACAGAGTGTAAGAAACCTGATTTTAAGCATTATTATCATATTCCTGAAAACACTAATAATTTTGGCCCAGTCCTTAATTATATAGTAGATCAAATTGGTGAATTAAGATCGAAAGTTGATAACATACATGCTCGTTGTATTAATATCGAAAATAAAATATCAATAACCACAACCGATATTAATAAAAAAAGTAAGCGATCTAAACGAACAGGTTAAACAGGTTCAACTTGCTTTAACAAACGAAGTTAGGCATCAACTCGGAAAAGAAGTATCACCTAATAAGGATAAAATCGTCCCATATAAATATAAATATCCTTTTCAAAACCTAGATAAAAATAAAAAGTTTACTGTAACACTCCCTAAAAGACCAATTAATAACCAACAAAAGAATAAAAAAACTAAACATGAGCCCTCATCTTCAGGAGAAAACACTAAATGAATTACAGGGCCTATTCGACAAAGAAGAAGACCCTAATAAGCTTAACGAAATCATGAATTTAATTTCTAAAAAGGGGATTGCTTCTGATAATGAAATAAAGGAAATTAATTATGCTACTTTAGAGGAAGATTTATATCAACAAATGGGAATAATGAAGTTAAATGATCTTGACTTTCTACCCATAGAAGTTGTTCAACGAAAGATCGAAAACAAACTAGGAAAAAGAGTAATGGATAATAATGATGTTGGGGAAGAAATTATTAATGTAAACAATGTTATCCAAAGACCTAGGTACCAAGGAGAAGGAAGTTGCACACGACCAAGATACATACCAGGGAAGACTACCCGGTTTAGTGTCAAGGTTATGCCTACTCATACACCTAAACAAGAAGAAGTGACTCTTGAACCCATTAGTCAAACTGGTTATAAACTTAAATTAGACGGTGTAAGAGATAGACAGGATGTTTTAGATCAATGGAAGAAGAGTATGAGTAGTGTACTTAATTTAAATACTGAATGGACTTCAGAAAATTTCTTAAATTATATAGAACATAGTCTCTACGGCTGTGTAGAAGATTGGTACGATGGAATAGATGAAGAAGTAAAGACTGCATTAAGAGCTAGTGAATCACCTACAAGAATATTTAGGCAGTTATGTCAATATATTGAGTTAGAGTTCATTGGTCCTAGAGCCGATCCTAATGAGAAACGAATGGAATATCAAAGAAAGTTAAGTAATTTATCCATCTGTAATATGAAATATGTTGATGATTATATTATGGAATTTGAAACATATTATTATAAAATTGGTGAAAATGAAACAAATCTTGGAATGTTCTACGATAAATTACCCAGTCCTCTTAATGAAGAGATTAGTGAAAAATATCAAGAATGGAGAGAGAAATTTTTAGCTAGGGATGCCCTAGGTAATAGAATTGATTTCCTTAGAAAGTGGATTGAAAAGAAGTGTAGAGAGGTTGCAGGAACTCAACAAATGAAGAGACAATTTCTCACTTGTTGGGATTTCAGCAAATAACTATGGATGCGAAAGAAAAAACTATATTAAAAGAAAGAGCTATAAGAAAAATAAATTTGACCGATCAGGAGGAGAAACCTATAAGAAGAAGTATTATAAACACAAATATAGAAAGCCAAGTAGGTTTTTCAGAAAGGCAACATTTTGTCCTGAGAAAAAGAAAACATGCAAGTGTTGGTCTTGTGGAGAACTAGGACATTATGCTAATGAATGTAAGAAAGCTAATCATAAACTAATGGAATCCTTAGGAAGTTGGGATTACATAGAAATACCAGAAGACGAGGCTTTAGAATTGGCTTTAAATAACAATAAAGGAATAGTAGAGAACGTAGAAGAGGAAAATGAGTATAATGAAGAACCTGAAGCTAATGATGAGTTTGAAGATGAAAATTATGAAGAAATAAACAACATGATGGAAGGAAAAGAATTAGAAAATTCAGAATCAGATGACAATGAGGAAGATAAAAGCAAAATGAAAATAGGTCAACTAAAAAGAGCTGAGTATTCATTTGAAGATAATGACCTAGATCAAGTAAACAAAGAAAGCTGGAATTTTCCCCAAATTACTAAAGATAAAATATTTAAAACTTATTTCTTTAAAACTAGAACTAAATATGTATGTGAAGAAATGGAAGGAAGTATAGTAATCGAAGATTGTGAACAAAAAGCAGCCGAAATTAATATCATAAACTGGAAAAGTATTAAAAAACATAAAGAAAAGGGAAATTATAGCTATATTTGTATTGGTGCAGTACAAGTATACATAACTCCTTTGCAAGATTTTGGCAAGGATGTTAAATGCTTGAGTTTTATTTGTGATATTAGACATAAAGAATTTTATGATCAAATAATTAGTGGTATCACATGTAACTTAAGTCAAGGAACGGTAAGCTATATATGTGAACCTAGATATTATGTGAGCTTAGAGGATTCCTTTGCGTCAAAGTTCTTAGCTATCAAGCTATTAACAAAAGGAGTGAAAATGCATAAAGGAACACGACCCATACAATTAAGATGGAAGGTGGTTTATAAGTTGGTAAACACTATAGACTCATCTTTTAAGAAACAAATAGTCGATGCTCAAAAATATGAGCAAGGAGGAGGCCCTAAGAAGAAAATTACACCTATAAAGGTAAATCCTAATGAAATTGAAATTGAAAAAACTTGGGAAGAATTCTTTATGAACCCTGCAGTTAGTAATAGATCAAGTAAGATGTTAATTGATGAATCAGGACTACTTCATATTGGAATGAATACAAAGCCTAAATTACAGAGAAATCTGAGTTTTAGAACACCAAGTCTAAGTAGACAAAATTCAACAATAATAAAAATGAAAAAACAAGGTGATGAAAAGCCAGAAGAGGATGAAGAAGAAATATTAGTTCTACTAAAGAAACTAAATGAAAAATATGAAAGCAAAAAAGCCTTAAAACAACCGGCAAGGCATAGCATTGATATGGGATCATGTTCTAATTTCGAGTTAAATGAAGATCCAAATAATCATATTGATAAAAGGAAGGTAATTGGATATAAAACCAAAACTGTGAGTGAATCAGTATATGAAGATGAAGTTAATATGCAAATGGAAGCTCATAATGAAATATCCAGTACTAACCCTAATAGCATTTATATTCCAATTGATATATGCATTGAGGATTTCAGTAAATATAAATTATGTGCATATATTGATAGTGGTTGCTCTACATGTTTTGGAAAAAGATCATTATTTCCAGAATTCTTATGGAAAAAGGCCAAAAATCCTATGCAAGTTAGAATTGCTAATAATAGTGTCATGATGCATACGGGGATAATTGAAGATTTAAAGATAGAAATTGGAGGAGTCCAATGTGTTATTCCTATTTTATGGGCGACTGATCAGCCTAGTCATGATATGATAATAGGAAATAATTTTCAAAGGTTATACTCCCCATGCACCCAAACTATTGATCAAATAGTCTTTACTATTTATGGTCATTCTGTTCCCATACAAAAAATAACAAAGGCATATACTCATCAGACAATGGAATTTACGCGCAGCCAGCGTGGTGATAGGGTTACTCCTACACAACGAGAGGTTGCACTTAGAATTTCTGAGTGTGATTCATCATTAATATATCAGATAAATAAGCAACAAGATAAACTATGCGAAAAATTATATTCAACAAATCCTTTAGAACATTGGGAAAAGGATAATGCATTTGCTAAGATAACTCTAACAAATCCCAATAAGATTATTAGGGTGAGACAAATGGTTTATACCTACCAAGATATTCAGGAGTTTGATGAACAAATAAAAGAATTGCTTAATAAAAAGCTAATTAGGAATAGCAAAAGTCCTCATAATAGTCCAGCATTCATGGTAAGAAATCATGCAGAAGAAAAAAGAGGTAAAGCTAGAATGGTTATTAATTATAAACAACTAAATGATAATACTGTTTTTGATGGCTATTATATTCCTAATAAAACTGTGTTATTTAATAGAATACAAGGAGCCACATGGTTTTCTAAAATGGATTGTAAAAGTGGCTACTGGCAAATTAAAATGAAAGAAGAAAGCATTCCATTAACTGCATTCAGTGCCCCTCAAGGGCATTATGAATGGCTAGTAATGCCTTTTGGATTAAAAAATGCTCCACAGATATTTCAGAGAAGAACGGATAATATTTTTAGAGAACTTAATCATTGTTGTTTGGTCTATATAGATGATATTCTAATATTTTCAAAAGATTTAGAACAACATAAAATTGATCTCAAAGCCGTAACTCAAAAATGTGCAGAGCATGGTATAATCCTTGGAAAAGATAAATGTGTTTATGCTAAACAAAAAATTGAATTTCTTGGATTAGAAATTAAAGCTGGACAAATAATATTGCAAAAACATATTTTAGAAAAGATTGAAAAATTTCCTGATAAAATTGAAGATAGAAAGCAATTAGAAAGGTTTCTAAGATGTTTAACCTATGCTTCTGATTTTTTAGAAAATCTTGCTTTATTAAGAAAGCCATTACAACAAAAACTCAAGAAAGAAATAATTTGGAACTGGAAGGAAAGTGATTCCAAAATTGTTCAAGATTTAAAAGCTATGTGTAAAGATCTTCCTGTACTAACATTACCTACTAGTGAAGATGATTTAATTCTTGAAACAGATGCTAGTAATGAGCACTGGAGTGCTGTGTTAAAAATAAAAGAAGGAGAAAGACTTTGCAGATATAGCAGTGGAAGTTTTAACAAAGCTGAGTTAAACTATCCTACAATGCAAAAGGAAATCCTTGCAGTTATTAGAGGGATCGAGAAGTTTTTAATCTTCTTAGCCCCCAAACAGTTCTTAATAAGAACAGATTGCAAAGGCATACTCGGTTTTGTTAAAAAGAATTTATCTAATATGCAAGCGCAAGGGAGACTCCTGCGTTAGCAATTATGGCTTAACCAATTTTCTTTTACTGTTGAACATATACAGGGAACAAAGAATTCTTTGGCAGACAACTTAACGAGAGAATTATCTAATGTCGTCCAAGAAGCTCAAGACTACACAAAAGCCTCCTGCATACCAACTTCAAAAGATGGATGTAGAGAGGAAAACTCTCATTGATGAGACCGAGAAGGCAATGGAGCGGGTTTCACCCTCCAGTTGGGCCTTAATGCAAGGCTTGATCATATCAGCAAAACAACGTTCGCGAGATGGTTTAATTAAGGGTTGCCATCGGGCAGTCCAAAGGATATTGATGTTCGAGATAACAATTATGTTATTTCAGCTCATTCCTAATGTACGAGATATAATATTAAATAAAATAAGAGATAATGATTTTAGGACATGGTACGAATTGGTGGCTACAAGGTCCAGTAAATTCTTTGATCTTCGAGATCTATGGGGAGAAAGAGTAGAGTTTCCCAAAAACTCTAAAGTTGCATCATTACGAATCTTCCCATATCCTCTAAATAAAAATGTTCCATTCATTAGTATACATTACAAGGCTTGGGATTATGGAATGGTACATGATTTCTATGAATTCCCTACTCCTAATGACTCTTTCTTTCCAAGACTTACAAAGTTCCAGCAGTACGCATTCAACAAGGTTCGAAAATATTGTGAAGACAAAAAAGACGAATTTCAGTTAATCGTAAAGGTACAATGTGCTAATATCGAAGTTAAAGAAGGAAAAGTTAGCCCCCTGCATTACTTAATAGTATTTGGGGGAGTGAGGTATTGTAAAGATCCCATACTAATTCGTCAAAAGACGGTTAGAAATCCAACTGAAGCAAGAGCATTGGGATTTTTCTACATTTCACAATATCTTAACGATTTTATAAAAAGGAAAGAAATTCCTCTTGTCATATTTCGTGTTGAAAACACAACAATTGTGGCACCTAATGAGATGAAAGAATATTTAGTAGATGGCATAAACAATACCGAGTCAATCTACAAATATTTAGAAGATATCGAAAGAGGAAAGTTTCTGTCATTTGAAGGCTATGAGTATCTGTTTGAAGCATTCATGAGTTGGGATGAAGAGTATGCAGCCAAGTGTGTCGCAGACCTTTGCAGAGAGAATCTTATTTACGAAGACAGTAAAGATAGTGAGGGAGGCCTACAAGAAATGATGATGGATGATATTATGAATACATGAGCCCACATCAGCAATAATTCAAGGCATCTTTACTGTAACCACGTTTTATTAATTGTTTCTGTCTTAAAGTATCTTTGTAGAAAAAGAAATGGTGTAGAATTGCTTGATAGGGATCCTATGTAAATTTGCTTCCCTATATAAAGGGACTTAGGTCAAGAAGTGAAGGAAGAGTTGGAAGAGTTAGCTAGAGAATTACTCTGAAAATAATAGAGAAACCTCTAGAGAAAAAATACTCACCTTAAGAGACAGATTGGTTCTCCATCTCTCTTAAAGTAGAGAAAACTCTAGTTCAGCTTATGTCTGTTTAACCTTTCAGTTTGTGTGTGTGTGTTGTAAGATATGAGTGTTGTAACCTTTTTAATTTAAATAAAAAGT